TGTGGGGCGCCTGGGTGGCTCATTCAGTTGAGTGTCCAACTCTTGATTTCAGCTCAGGTCATGATCCTGCATTGGGCTCTGTGTTCAGCGTAGAGTCTGCTTGTCCCTCTACCCTTCCTCACACTCCCACTTGTGCACGCTCTCTCTCAGAAATAAATAAATAAAATCTTTTAAAAGAACTCTTTGTGCCAAGTAACTTAACATAACATAAACTTTTTTTCCTTAAATTGTGTGTATAATTTCTTCAATTATCAATACAGAGACTGAAAAGACATAATTTCATTCCATTTCAGAATTCCCACACATATGTAACAACAAGTATAATCAATTTCCCAGCAAGTAGTTGTTCAAGCTAAGTGAGACAAACAAAGGAAGTGCACAATTACTAGAAGATGTTTTCTCATAAATGAAATTATGCACCATGGCAATTATTCAACTAGTAAACGTTTTCCATTTCAATCTATGCTTTTTAAGCTATTCTTTTGGATTTGAATTGTACAATTGTATTGTGCTTCAAACAAACATATCCCAGATCATAGTTCATTGCTCTGGAATATATTTTACTATATATATTATATATATATATTATATATATATATATATGTAATATATATATATATATGGGTCTGGCTGTGAGCCATCCTGTCTGTGTTTATGTAAAGCCAAACCACATTATCATAGATGGCTTGCACACCTACAAAAAAATTATCTAGGACTTACTAGTGGCCCACATCAGCCTGTGAAACCAATATAATTTTGTCTTTAGAAATTCCATCTTATGATCTACCCATTCAAAACAAATAAACAACTGTCTATTGGTGGTCTGCATTGCAAGTCTCCTGTGCTAGAAACCATGCCATCTGCTGCACTCCATCTGGTCGCAGCCCCTTGTTGAGAGGTAGGCAGTGGTGATCCTCACTACACAGTGCTGCACAAGACACCAAAGCCTGAGACCGTTCCCCAGACCTTGCTTTCCTGGTCACTTACCATTGGTTCAGGGTGGGCAGCCAACCTGAGTCAGAACAAGCAAGGAATCATGTCGGAAATTTGGACGAAGAGAGAGTCAAGTTGGTCTCTCTAGGATGAAAACCACAGGAAGTGTTGACAGCGAGAGAGAAGAAAGGAACAGATGTGCACAAAGAGAAGTCAAGGAGAGAAGGTGGATGAGGGAGAGTGATGTCACTGAAGTGCCTCATCTTCCTGGCAGCCAACTGCATTCCTGACCCTGGATTCCATGAGATACCACCAGGAACTTATAAAGAAGTCCCCCCTTGGCTTAAGCTAGTTGAAGTTTACTTTAACCAAAATATTTCTAATTAGCACAAGTTGGTGTTGGAAGCCAACATAAAATAAGATAATAATATCATCTAAAAAGTTCAGTTTTCCAGAAGAGGAAACAGAGAACAGGTGGTTGAATCCTTACAGGAGATCACACACCAGGCAGCCCGGCCCCTAGACCAGAGGATTAACTTCTCCATTGTTTGGCTTCTTCAAATGGACACAAAGGGAGAGGCCTGATCTGGTGTCAGGCATCTATGCATTGGTGTCTTCACCATACCACTTGCTTGGGGCTAATTATTGACCTGCAGTTTCTTAATTTGTGAAATGAAGATAGCTATAATTGTGAAAATATAGAGTTGTTGCAAGGCTCAGGGAGATAACATGAGTATCATGTTGGCCCAATAGGCGCTCAGTGAAAGTTATTTCCAACCTGTTTCCAATTTTTCACTCATAAGTAATTGCAGTCATTGAAGCTCATGGCATATTGTAAAGGGTGGTGGTAACCAGCATCCTTCTGCATTTTTACTGTTAAATAGGGTGCTGAGATAGACATTCATCATTGTGGTAAGGAAACAATCTTCTATTCCTGGTTTACTACAAAGATATTTTTCCTCAAAAATTGATGGCAGATACTATCAAGTAACTTCAGCTTCCAGCAACAACAAAAGCCATATGATTTTTGTCTTTTGATTTCATAATTTATTTTAATAATAGAATACCTAATATTAAACTCTCCTCAGTTTCCTAAAATCAAATATCTTTAATCACTTTGCATTGTTCTGGGAATGGATTGGTAGGTTCTGGTGTTTAAATTATGATTTTGGGGGGCACCTGGATGGCTCAGTCAATTAAATTATGATTTTTTAAATGTATGAGTGAAATGTCTTTAGTTTTCTTTCTTTTGCTTTTTCTCCAGATTCCATTTTGTGGTGATGGTAGCTCATAATGATGAATTAAGAGGTTTTCTATCCTTTTCTGATTTCTGGAACTATATAAATAGCAGAGGGGCTTTCTATCCATGGAAGGTTTGAAAGAATATGTCTTTAAATACATATGTGTGTGTAGTGTATATATATATATATATATATATATATATACACATATATACTATACACACATATATATATCCAGTCCCAGCATCAACTTCGTATATACTCCTTTTCCTTATGATTTTCTAGTTCATACTGTGGGTATTTGTCTATTTAAGTTTTCTGCTTCTTCCTGAATAGATTTGAATAATTTATATTTTGTTAGAAAATTTACAATTCACTGAAATCCACTTTTTTAACATTGAGCTGAAAATTGTATTCTTGTGTAATATTTTCTTCTAATCCATATCTGTGGATACTTACTGCCTGCTGAGATTACAATTTCTCTTTACTAGGCCTTTGGGGGCCACCTCTAAGTGAAGAGGGTACTTGGCCGGGCACCTGTGTTGATGTTTGCTCTCTTCCTGCTTTGGGTGGTCTTGGTCATCTCCATCTGGATGGTCACAACGCCACCATCATGCTAGAAGCATCAGCTGTAATGCTTGGAGCCCAGTTAGAGTGGGCAAGCCTGTATTGGGGTAGAAGCCTGTGTTTGTATACACAGGAGTGTGGTCACCATGTTGGGGACTGGTCAGTTATCGAGCTGGTCAGGAGAGAGCACTTGAGGGGCAAAGCACTAGTGGGGCACACTGGCCTCGAGGACTCTAAGACGTCTGATTATTCTATGAGCTTCCCCATCCACAGTGCACCTTCGCTGAGATTCCCTTCACCTCCAGTCTCTTCAGAGTCAATAATATTTGTATGTTGATATTTGTATGTTATTTCCTGCAAATAGAACTGACCACTTGAAATATGCCAATTTGAAGTGGTATTTACAATTATGCTCATTCTATGGGATCAGATGATCTATTCATTCTAACAATTTTTATAGTAGTTATAGAGTAGGAAATCTTCTGAGTCTAAAAAGAGTCTCATGAAAGGTAGTGGAGATGGGTGAGTTGAAAATTCCAACTGGGAGGGTCTGAAAAAAGTCACAACTAAGTCTACAGTTAGGGTAAAATATACTTAGATGGAAAGAGACCAGGGAGACCCCCGTGATGGAGGTAGGAGCCAGAGATGAGCAAAGCCCATACAGGGAGGGAACCAATGTGCTAGAGAAAGCAGACAAGCATCTGGTTTAGGAGCAGGGCAATAACAGGATCAAGCTCCAGGGAGACTCAGCAATCAGCCAAGCAAGTTATTAGCAAAAATTTCAGGATATTAGAAAAAAAATCCCAGGATTCGCCCCGATAAGGTTTTATTCTTTTTTATTCTTTTTTTAAATTTTATTTTATTATGTTTGTTAATCACCATACATGACATCATTAGTTTTTGATGTAGTGGTCCATGACTCATTGTTTGCATATAACACCTAGTGCTCCATTCAATACGTGCCCTCTTTAATACCCAACACGAGGCTAACCCATCCCCCTACCCCCCTCCCCTCTAGAACCCTCAGTTTGTTTCTCAGAGTCCATAGTTTCTCACGCTTCGTCTCCCCCGCCGATTTCCGCCCCCCTTCATTTTTCCCTTCCTACTTTTTTAAAAAAATATATAATGTATTATTTGTTTCAGAGGTACAGATCCGTGATTCAACAGTCTTGCACACTTCACAGCGCTCACCATAGCACATACCCTCCCCAGTGTCTATCACCCAGCCACCCCATCCCTCCCGAGCCCCACCACTCCAGCAACCCTCAGTTTGTTTCCTGTGATTAAGAATTCCTCATATCGGTGAGATCATATGATACATGTCTTTCTCTGATTGACTTATTTCGCTTAGCATAATACCTCTAGTTCCACCCATGTTGTTGCAGATGGCAAGATCTCATTCCTTTTGATGGCTGCATAATATTCCATTGTATTGGACTATTGTATACATAGACCACATCTTCTTTATCCATTCATCTGTTGATGGACATCTTGGCTCTTTCCATAGTTTGGCTATTGTGGATATTGCTGCTATAAACATTGGGGTACATGTACCCCTTTGGATCCCTGCATTTGTATTGCCCCAAAAAGGTTTTAAATCATTAAAGGCCCTTATATCTGGAGGTAGCCAAATCTACAGGACCAGTTCTTCCCAGCAGAGACCTGTTCTTTGTTTGTGTGTGGCTAGCAATGTCAAATAGCAATGTAGGCTCAGCTTATGCTTACCACCGTGTGATTCCATGTAGTTCTTCCTACTGACTATAAGCATAATTGCCATATATAACTCATACTCAAGTCCTCTACCTCCTGGCATGTATTGAGCACACATTAGACCTTCAGGTGGTATCTCTGGAATGCTTGAATAGATAAGGACGCATGGTCCAGAAAACTTTCTATGTCCTCCTCAGGTTCAATGTGAACTGCTTATCTAGGGTTCCAGACTTCCCCTTTACCAGTGCACTTCTTCCCTTGGGTCCTTACACTCTCAGTTCTGAGAAGAAGATTCCAGCATAATGACTCTCTTCTAGTACTTGCGGGAGCGGAGGGTTCCTTTAATACAGACCACGCACATAGGCGTTGTTCACGGTAAATAAGAAGGAGGAAAATAGGTCCCTCCCTTGTGTCATCAATTGGCAAATTCCTTAAACAGCTTACAGTGAGTACTATCAAGAAACACATTAAATACAAACTAAAATTAAAATATTTAACAATGCAAATTTCCACGTGCCTTTACATTTTTCTGCCTTGTCTGTGTTTCAGGTTCAGGTTTAGTGGTCGTATCCTAGGCCTGGCTTTGATCCATCAGTACCTTCTTGACGCCTTCTTCACAAGGCCCTTCTATAAGGCACTCCTGAGACTGTAAGTGTATTATTGCAGGCCATGGTCCACCCAGCCCTGCCTGCAGGACACTAGGTGCTGGCCTCCCTGGTACCTCGGACGCTCCATCCCTGTTTTGCCCTAACCATTCCTGTTTGTTGACTTTTCTGAGTGCTTAGATGTCACATAAACCTTTTAGTACAATAAAAAGGCATTTAGAGTTTTTATGTAAGCGTAGGAGAAGACTATTATAACTTCATATGACGGATATGAATCAGTTTATATAAATAATTAGAGTAATAGTACAAACTTTGCATTACACTAAGTAGAATTAATCTGTCTAAAACTTAGTTGTTTTAAAATATTTTTTAAAACTTTTTTCCAATTGCCATCAAGAATCCATGAGTCGATAATTGTCCCATATTTATTATTGTCATTTCAAAAAAAAAAAAGCATTGAATGAACTAAAAAGATTCGTCGATATATTCAAGAGCATCAAATTGTTAGAATCGGTCCATATTGTTTTAGCCAGGTCTGGGCATCCGTTTGCTTAACAAACTGTTTACTTTGTGCCCTTGGAATGCACCCAGGCCCTGTGATTTGAGCGACTTGGAATATTTGGATGAGGAATTCCACCAGAGTTTGCAATGGATGAAGGACAACAATATCACGGATATCCTAGACCTCACTTTCACTGTTAACGAAGAAGTTTTTGGACAGGTTTGTGAGACATGGGGCTTGGAAAAGAACATTTGTTTTTTACCGTGGAAAATTCACATAACACAAAATTTACCACCTTAACTGTTGTTAAGTCTACAGTTCAATATTGTTAAGTATATTCACACTGTTATACGATCAATCTCTAGGACTTGTTCATTTTGCAAAACTGAAACTATAGCCATTAAACAGGAATTCCTCATTTTTCCTCTCCCCAGTCCCTGGCAACATCCGTTCTCTTTTCTGTTTCTGTGAACTTGGCTGCTCTAGACACCTCACATAAGTGGAGTCACAGAGTATTTGTCTTTTTGTGACTGGCTTATTTCACTTAACTCATTGTCCCCAAGGTTTACCTACATTACAGCATGTGATAGGCTTTCCTTATTTTTTAGGGCTGAATAGTATTCCACTATATGTATATATAGCCTATTTTATTTACCCATTGATCTGTTAATGAACCCTTTGGTTGCTTCCACATTTTGGCCATTGTAAATAATGCCGCTGTGAACATAGGCGTACATTTATCTGTTCAAGCCCTTGCTTTCCGTTCTTTTGGATGTGTATCCACAAGTGGGATTGCTAGATCAAAAAGTAATGGGATTTTGTTTTTAATCCAGAAAACAAAGAATCTCATTCATTTAAAATATAATTCACTGAGGACTACTTCCTTTAATAAAGTTGCCCATGTCTTCTTCCTTCTTTTCCTTTTCATGATATGGATCTACTTTATAGAGGTTTTGAAAATCAAAGTGATAATGGATTAGAAAACACTTTCGTGAAGTGTGAAATACATTTGGAAGGTATTTCTGTGATCTGTGGAACTACAAAAATACTTCTTTTTATTACTAGTGTCTAGATATTTGCTCTTCCAAAATGCATGTATATAAATATTATTCAATAAGATAAAGCTTCTCATTTTTTTAACCAGTATTTATATATCTTTGAATGTTCTGGGTTACAGTTGTATCAGGTTAACCATAGCCTGAGTCATTTACAAGAGATTTCAAAAGCCTCTGACACGTGATAATTTGTAATGGGTCGTTGTGAGAATTGAGTTGGTAGGCTCTATAAGTCCCTATAAGCATAAATATAAGCACAAATGTGAACAGCGTGCTGAGTCTGTGCGTGAGAGGCACCCACAGAACTTTGCAGCACCCATACCATAGTCAAGAATTTTGGACAGGTCCTGGAAAATGTCAACATTCTGTCGAATTTCCTTTGTGTAAAACATACCTCTGAAGAATCCCCTCTTCCATATTTGAGAAAAAATTTCTTTTCCTTTTACAACTATAGAGAGCACATTTAAATATGTTCAAGAATATACGATTTGTTGGGCCCCAAGAGTCGCACGGTGGAGTGTGTGACTCTTGATCTTGGAGTTGTAAGTTCAAGCCCCGTGTTGGGTGTAGAGAATACTTAAAAACAAAATCTTCCCAAAAAAACCCCAAAGGAATATACAATTCACTTAATTGTCTTGCCGTGTATTGGGTGAAAGTACGAAATACACTATTCCCTTGTCTGTGACTTCTTTTAGTCCATTCTTTACATTTGCCTTGCAGTAGAGGGTAAATTTGTAAAATAAACACAATCATTTAGCAAGTTGAAGACAATGGAGTAGCCATCTTAAAAATTTTTAAGTTAGATTCTTAACCTAACTCATCACACCACAATAAATTCCACCTGGATTAGAAATCTGACTGTTAAAAATAAATAAATAAAAAAGAAGAAAATGATAGGCTTTTTATTTTTAGTCTTCCAGTAAGGAATGCTAATGCAGATGTGACACAACTTTCAAAGTCATAAAGGAAGATTGACATAGTGAACTAAAATTACTCTTTAATTCTGTGTGGCAAAAATACAGCATAAACAAAGTAAAAGTGTCATAATATTGAATAGAACATGTTACACAGACAAAAGGCTATTCTTTCGATATAGGAAGAGATTCCACAGATCAATAGGAAATGATCAACAACAAATACAAAATTAGCAAAACGTAAGTAGTTCCCAGAAAAGGAAATATGAGAAAATAATTTCATTCACAAGTTGTAAAAATGTAAATTATAGTGAAATGCTACTTTCACTATATACGATTGTCATGAATCGATTGTCCTTATACGATTGTCATGTATTGGAATGTTTACCAGTATTCCATTCTGGAGGTGGCGTAGAGAACAGACATGCTGTACAGGAGTGTAGGTGGGAGTAAGTTGTGTCACATCTGCATTAGCATTCTCTGAAAGGCAACTTTATGATAGCTTCCCTCATTCTAAATGCACCTGCCCTTCCGGGTATTATATGTAAGTGATGAATCACTAAATTCTACATCCGAAATTAGTATTACACTGTATGTTAACTAACTGGAATTTAAATAAAAACTAAAAAACTAAAAAAAAAATGCACCTGCCCTTGAGTCAGTACCCATGTCTGAGGATTTGTCCTATTGATTCACACCTAATTCAAATGAGTAACGTATTAAGATCTTCACTGGAGCATTGTTGATAGCTGCAAAAGATCTGAGACAATCTAAATGTCCAGAAATAGAGCATTGGTTAAATAAATTATGATGCATTCACACAATGGAATAATGAGCCAGTGGGATGTGTGGCTAAAACGGGCAAGACATCCCAGCCCATCAACTTCCTTGTAAATCGTAAACAGTAAACAGAATATTGCAACAACAACAACACAAACAGAATAAGTCAGGTCTGAATTGGTATAAAACAATTGTCAAGGTACATTTTTAAGTGAAAAAAGTATGGTGATGAATAGTGTATATGATATGCTACTGTTTATGGGGAAAAAGAGATGATATATACATATTCCCTGGTATATGTGTCAATCATCCCTAGAAGAGAAGTAAAGGCAATTTTCTCCAGGTAGGGAGATTTTATGGCTGGGAGATGAGATGGGAGAGAAGCTGGCTTTTCATGTATGGCTTTTTATACCACTTGAATGTTATTCCATGGGCGCATATTACCTACTCAAAAACAATGAGGTGAACTACAAATAACGGAATACATAAAATTAGAGGGAAAAAATAACATTGAAAATACAAAAGGGCAATCCTTCGTGTGTGTGTGTGTGTGTGTGTGTGTGTGTGTGTGTGTGGCATAGGAACAACTCAGAGAGAAGTTTACAATGTTCCCAATGATAAAAATAAGGAGGTGTTGTAGATCTAGAATAATGTGTATCTGTGTAAAGCATAAACAGATCTCATTCCTCTTCAAATGTAGTCACTAAGAGCAATGACTTTGGTTTTAGAAAACTGAGTTGTAGCCCTTCTTTTGGCAAGTCATGAGGTCCTGAAGAGCGGACACATAGATGCAGGTGAAAGACATCATAGGCTTGTCCTACATGTGTTAGTGAGGATTAGGGTCAGCTTCCTGTAAAGAAATCCAGAATGACCCCGCTGAAATTAACAGTTTATTTTTCTCTCAAATCAAAGTGTAGAGGCAGACAACCCTCAGCTGCAGTGCCTACCATGGGCACCTGCACTCGTGGCCCAACCATCACGTTCGTGCTTGACGCAGCAGAACAAAGGATGGGTTAGCCTGGACAAAGGATGGGTTAGCCTGGACAAAGGAAGAACAGCCCCTCCCTTTAAGGAGGTTCCTGAAAGTCCCATACAACATTCCTGCTTACACCTTACTGGCCAGAATGTAGTTACATGGCACACCTAGCTGCAAGTGAAGTTAGGAATTAGTCTTTAACTGGACGGCTGAAAATCAGAGGGTCCAAGGAATGTGGATATTGAGTGGCAGTAGGGATGTTAGAATTAGCCGGTATTTTTATTGTTATGTTAATCACCATATATTACATCATTAGTTTTTGATGTAGTGTTCCATGATTCATTGTTTGCGTATAACACCCAGTGCTCCACGCAGAATGTGCCCTCTTTAAGACCCATCACCAGGCTAACCCATCCCCCCATCCCCCTCCCCTCTAGAACCCTCAGTTTGTTTTTCCGAGTCCCTCCTCTCTCTTGGCTCTCTCTTCCCTCCTTCTCCCCCTCCCTTCGTTCTTCCCCTCCTGCTATCTTCTTTTTTTTTTTTTTAACGTATATCGTATTATTTGTTTCAGAGGTACAGATCTGTGATTCAACAGTCTTGCATTTTATAATTAGCACTAGTCACCTAAGTGATAGCAGAAAAAAATAACCATCAGACTTCTGGCCTGTTTGTTTAGGTCCCAAAGTCAATGAATGCCAAATATACATATCTACCTTTCTTAAACCAATGGCTAAATACAGTTATGCCTCATTTGTCTTACAGCTTTGAGCGGTGAGGTGAGCCCCTTAGGTGACATCCCCTTCAAACACCAACACTTTCTGACAAAAATGTCTAACATGTTATCCACCCCCTTGCCTTTCAAAAGATAGAGCACAGATCATAACTTTTAAGGATTCATTTGTCCTAACAAACAAGCACCACCATACTAAGTGGCAAGATCATTCTCTGTTTTCTTTCTCAAGGTCAGTCTCATCGGTCCGTCAGCCAATATTATACCCAGCTGTAAAAACCATCTTCCCACCCTCTGCTATTTTCCTGTCAATGACCTGCTCTGGGTAGGGAGGCTTGTGGCTTTTGAGAATGTGATCTAATTGGGATTTGGGGGAATTGAGTATAAAGACCTTCTGGTCCACTGTTCCCCTGGGACAACAAGGGGCATTTTTCTTTTATTTCCATTATGCCTCTTGAGTTAAGGAAATACGTTTCCTCTTTATAAAACAAACAAACAAAGAATGCAGCTTTTCTAAGGTGCATAACCATCATCTGAGAAGAACCAGAGCTTTTTTAGTAACTTCCAGGAAAGGACAAAGAATGAAGGAGGTAATAATGCTGAACCCATGTGAAGAAGACATTTTGTAAATAGCTCATCCTCCTAGAATTGGTATGTGTCACTGCAAGATCAGCTGAGTTGACAAGCATCACAATCTTTCTGTTTCCCCACAAGGTAACAGAAAGGGAATTAAAATCTGGAGGAGCCAACACCCAGGTGACTGAGAAGAACAAGAAGGAATACATCGAGAGGATGGTGAAGTGGCGGGTGGAACGCGGTGTGGTACAGCAGACTGAGGCCCTGGTGAGGGGCTTCTATGAGGTGAGACCCAGGCCCAGCTGAGGAAGGCAGGCCGCAGTCAGGGCCCTTATTACCAACACAGCTTGTGGCGGGGGTGGGGGGGGAGCGGCGCGGAGAAGAAGAACCAAGGCAGGCAAAGGGCTCAGCTCCAGTCACCACATTGCAAACAGGACACACTTGGGACAGATGAAAGAAGGGTCAGAGTTCTCTGGGAAACCTAACTCTGGTGGTAGGTGAAAAATGCTCTCACAAAAATGGTGTTGCTGTGGCCCCGGTGTTATATGACAACATTCAGTATCTCCTGTCAAGATATGTGCATGCTGTGTTTCCTTTCATTCAGTGAAATAAAAATAAGTGAAGCTAAGGTGTTGGAGGACATTGTCCACTCTTGCTAGATTTCTCTTTTGTTATGGTGTCACATTGTGCCACATAATCCATACTAAGGTGGTAAATCAAGAGGAAGGGACAGTTGCCAGCTTCCTGTGTACCAAATGTTGACATCCTTTAACCTTTTGCAATTTAGAAACAAGGCACTGTAAATATTCTCTCAGGGCTTGGGTCTTGGAAGGTTTTCTTTCCCTGCCCATAATGGAGAACAACATGGCTCACGGGCTCATCCACCACTAGTCTGATCAGAGGAGCTGTTCTGTTGTGCCTGATATATTTGGCAACAAAGCATAAAGTCAGAGCTCAGAGCCCTAGCAAGGGAGGTCTTTCCAGATCTTTGAAGGAGGGAGGAAGGAACTGAGGGGAGAAAGGAAGGGAAATACAGTTGTTTTAATATAGAATGCCCATTTCTAAGAAATAAGTCAGAGTTGGAAAGGAAGGGAAATACAGTTGTTTTAATATAGAATGCACATATCTAGGAAATAAGTCATGGAAGAGAGGATACCTTTTAAGTGAAATGATAATAGTAAAAGCTCTCAAGTCACTTCAAAGTGTTTGGACCTTTTGCCTTTAAAATGCAATGATACCTAGAAACTTCAATGTGACAGAGAAAGTCAAGTCGGTTTTGCTCATAACATTTTGAGAGGGAGTATCAGAGGTAGTGAAAACCCTGGGGCCTTTGAGTTCCCAGCTCATCAACGGGTTGTGTTTCAGAATGTTTAAGTCAACAGTTTTGAACTTAAACATGATGGTACATTGGTAAAAAAAAAAAAAAAAAAAAAGAAAGAAAGAAAAAAAAGTTGGAAATGATGGTCAGTCTCCCAGTGTAAAACCACAGAAGTAATAATAAGGAATATAACTTCAATGTGGTTGGACCTGAAGCCTAATCTGTATTTCAGGTCGTAGACTCGAGGCTTGTCTCCGTGTTCGACGCCAGGGAGCTGGAGCTGGTGATAGCTGGCACGGCGGAAATCGACCTCAACGACTGGCGGAATAACACGGAGTATCGGGGAGGTGAGCTAGCAGGCCAGCGCACACACAGTTCACTGTTTTTTAAAGAAATTTATACTAAGGCGAAATGGCATAGCGTAACATTAACCGTTTTAAAGTGAACAAGGCAGTGGGGTCTGGTACATTCACAATGTTGTGTCTCCACCACCTCCAGCTGGCTCCAAAACATTGTCCTCACCCCAAAAGGAAGCTCATTACTCATTAGGCAGCTTCCTCCCACTCCTCCCTCCCCCAGCCCTGACAAACATCAATCTGCTTTCTGTCCCTGTGGACTTACCTATTCTGGGTATTTCATGTAAAAAGAGTCCTGTAATTTGTGGCCTTTTGGGTCTGGTTTCCTTCATTTAGCCTACTGTTTCAAGGTTTGTCCATGCTGTAGTGTCTCCATACTTCATTCCTATTTGTGGTTAAATAATATTCCATTATAACTCTGAAAAACAAACTGAGGGTTCTAGAGGGGAGGGGGTGGGGGGATGGGTTAGCCTGGTGATGGGTATTAAAGAGGGCACTTACTGCACGGAGCACTGGGTGTTATGCACAAACAATGAATCATGGAACACTACATCAAGAACTAACGATGTAATGTATGGTGATTAACATAACAATAAAAATTAAAAATAATAATAATATTCCATTATACATATATATTTTCTTTCCATATATATGTAATATAAATATAAAATAATATTCCATTTTATATCTACATTTATAACATATATTCCATCACTCTTTAAAGACTACAAAAAACTTGGCCTTACTTCAACACCTGTGCAAAGTGGGTTCTCATAACAGGCTTTCCTATAACTTCGATGCCGAATGTTCCTTCAGGTGACCCCCATTGGGATAGTCTCTGGCCTCCCTCCATGTAGATGCTTTACTGAGAACCGGCCCCTGGAGGCCAGCTCCTGAGCTCGGTTACCTGCTGTCAGGGAAGTGTGTCCCACTTCCTGTAGAATTGCAGCCCTGTTCCCTTCGATCTCGGTTTCCCGCAACGTGGTTCTGTGATTTTTCCAAACTCTATTTCTAACTCTTCCCACCTATTTACTTTCACACTGCCAAACTAGTCTTCTTGAAATATTATTTTCACCAGGTCACTTCCTTACCCACAAAACAAACTCCTTATTACGAAAAGGCTTTTCAAAGTTTTTTTTTTTTTTAGGCTCAAAACCATTTCTTTCTGTAAAATATTACAGAGAAACCAATCAAAACCACAGAGAGAGAGTGAGGTCCACCACCTCAGCCTCCCTCTTCTCCCCAGTATACTCGGCCTGAGGAGCCTCTGTGGGACCACTGGGCATTTCCCGGCATGGTATGACCACTGCCAGCGTCAGGTGGCAAGTCCCAGTGTCTCTGCCTGGCTGTTACAGCCCAGTAAGGCCCCCAGTGAGCTTCCCTTTGGCCCTCCCCAGGCCCCGCTCTGCACTAGTCGGCTTGCTGTTCCCTGCATATTTCTTCCTCGTTCTTGTTGTTCTCCATCTCTCCTGGCGTCCACTCACACAAAGCCTTCCCAGGCTCAACGCACACCTCCCCTCCCTCTCTCTACCCCAGCCCACATAGATTTCTCCCGTGTCAGAGTGCCTCTTGCGTTTACAGCACTGGTGAATCATTTGCTTGGACTGGTTGACCCAACCTCTCCCAACTGTGCTGGGACAGTGGCCCGACTGGTCCGACTGGCCTGAGAGCAGCTGCTGGACACGCGGGCCTCTTCTGTTCACTGAGCTTGCCATTTACCTCCAGCCCTTCTTAAGTCCTAGGCTCGCCCACAGTATGTGGTTACCAAGGGCTAAGACATCAGAACAGAGAAAATACATTGAAATATTGGGTTGATAGAGGGTTTTGTCTCTTATGGTCCCAAGGATCTCTAGCCACACCTTTTCTCATTTACATGAGGCAGGAAAATGGCTGGTGGGGTCCCAGTTGTTCACATAGAAAGCAGACATCTCTGAGGACATCCCTCAGAGCATAAAAACTTTTTATAAAATATCTATTTTCTAAATCTGCTTTTGCTATAAAGCTTGACCTAGTCGCGCAGATTGTCTTAGACCTGTGTGAAGGCCATCGTTAGAGAAACTGGCAGACTGACAGCAGCTGTTCGGTTCTCATCACACCTGCAGTATATGTCACCTCTCTCCCTTCCTCCTCCGCTCTGCACATCCTCCCTTGTCTCTCCCTCCTTCCGCTCCATTCAGGTTATCACGACGGGCATCTTGTGATCCGCTGGTTCTGGGCCGCCGTGGAGCGCTTCAATAATGAGCAGAGACTGAGATTACTTCAGTTCGTCACGGGAACATCAAGCGTGCCCTATGAAGGTTTTGCAGCCCTCCGAGGAAGCAATGGGCTCCGGCGTTTCTGCATAGAGAAGTGGGGGAAGATTACGTCTCTCCCCAGGTAAGGGCTCCTGCCGGCCTTCAGGAAACCCACCAAAGAGGGCCAGCGTACTTTGATATTGGAGCGTTGGGGGATGATCCTTTGGGATGGAATTCTTTCCTGCCACCCAAGTTATTGTTATATGAGTTATCGGTGAAAGGCACCAGTGAGGAGTCTCTGGCAAGTGAATTTAGACCATATTCTTAGTGGTTTTTTGATTATTGATGGTATTTAGGCTGTAGTGTCATGGCCCATGTGTCCGTTGTGGGAAGCTTTCCGATCTGTATGTAGCCCAATTTAACGTAAGGAGGAATGTCTCACCAGGTAAGGGTGGGAGGAGAGTCTGGAAGCCCAAAGTAACCCTTCCAGCACTTTATCTGTACTTCCCCAGCACATCACTTGATACTCTGCAGGATGGTTGTGCATGTACAGGTCACGTTTTTCCTACTATGTTTTAAAACATGTGAGGACAAGACCATGAGTATCTCATGGTGAGACAGACGCTGACCATAGATATCTCATATCTACAGTGACTTCTATATAGTAAGCTGTCAAGGAGATTATTGTGAGATAAATGCAGGAAAGGAGACACTAGGGATCCAGGCAACTTAACGGAATGAATTCCCTATGCCATGAGTCCTAATACTTCCTGGGTCCTTCCTAGGCCACTTTGAGCAGCCTTTTCCTGCTCAGTGAAATAAAGAGCACTAAAGAGATACTTCTGTTTAGGTACCACAGTAATAAATACTGCTCAACAACAGAAGAAAAGATTGATCCATATTATTTTCTTCAACTATGAGATTTTCTAATTATAAAAGAAGATTCACATTTAATTCAGCTGTTTCCACATGGCCTCCCAGATACTATTGCTAAATCCCAATGGAAGGATTTACTGAACTGTGATTTGCATTCGGATCTCCCAGACCTTCCAACGTCCTGAAGACAAGTCACCTGATGTCAGTGAGCATCAGGAGGCCCAGGAAACAGGGTGCATGCCCAGCTGGTCAATAACAGCCTAAAGCCTTGGCACAATTTTCAGCCCTGGCTTCACCCACTTGTTCAGCAGACCCTCAGTGCTCATTCGCATGGGTCTGCTGATAGCTGAGCCTACTGAATTAAATCTGGCAAGAAAATAAAGCTAAAAAAGGCAAGATTTCCATTTGTCTAGTTTAATGATAGATTTGGAAGATGAGGTTATTTGGAAACAGTCTGTTTTTATTTTAGAGAAATGAGTTTGCATCACCATTTGATGATAGCCCGCCCCTCCCCCCAGCATCACGTGCACCCTGAAGAGTGGCTAAGACACAACCATCTACCTTCCCAGAGGAGTTTATAGTCTAGGGAGGAACACAGCCCAATAGTAATAAATCACAACACAAGGTGGAATCAGAGGAGCACTGAGAAAGGAAGGTAAAAGGAAGGTGCCGTGAAGATGTAGACTACAGACCAAATCCCCACTGAGTTGGGAAGAGGAGATGGCACTTGGGTGAGCATTGAGGGTCAAAGAATGAGTAGAGGGGAATTCCAAGCTGAAGCAGGAAGGATTGCTGGACCAGCGTGGAGAACAAGCTATCCAAAATGATACTCATAAGGGATGAGACTGAGAAAGATAGTTTGGTGGGTCCCAGGGGGACTCTGCTGAGGAGTATCTGCTTTATTCATTGAGGAAATGGAAATAGGAATTGTTTTTGTCATTTGGGGGCCACAGATTGAGTCTAGTTACATATTTCCCTTGAGAAGCTTTAGAAATATACATGAATACTATTAACCCACATAAAGAGCTTATAAGATAGACACTGGGCTTATAATTGGGCTATTCACATCTGGGCCAAGCCATCCCTAAAAATGTTGCCATTCTGCAAACCCCAGAGAGGATTCCTTGGGGAGGCAGAGACTTTACCCTGGGCCAAGAGGGTCCCAAGAAGCAAGTGCTGAGATGCCTCTGGGAGGACAGTGAAAATGACCCCCTGGATAGTAACCCCTAACTAGCCTTCCTTGTACATGTTCTGAAGATCCAAGAACCTCAAAAGGGTCACCAATGTGTGCAGATAAAGAAGTAACTTCTGACTTTCAAGGACAGAAGTTTGGGTAGATGTAGCCAGACCACGTGGCAGATGGCAGGAAGCCCAGAGGCTAGCAGGAGCGCCAAACAGACACAGGACAACCCAGGACTTCCCAGAGAATGTGACCCCACTGCACACTGCCCACACTGGGAGGAGAGGTGGTCTGGAACTGCTCTGTTCTCACATCTTCCCCCTGTAGAGAGGCAACTGGCTTCCCAGATGAGAGTGCCAAATAGTGTCATAACCAAACCTGAATCATAGCCCAGGCTAAATAAAACCTTTACATCAATTCAAGTCCTTGAATTGTAGGAGGGTTAGGAAGGAGGACTTTGAGAGTAGTGGTTTCCAGGATGTAATTTTACAGTGTCTGGTAAAGAAAGTTCAGTATCAGATGGGTTGGGTAGTCACCGGGGTTGAGGTCAAGGAGCTGGCAGGTTAGGGCATCGAACAGGTCATCCATGTGGACTCAGATACTACACGGTCTGGTGAGCACACCTGAAATGGGAAGGATTTAAGCAATGTACCAGAGATTTTAATAAATGTAATTAGCTGGAAGGTCAGAAGATACGGAAGATATATCTAGATCACTGATTTGCAAACTTTTTAACCATAGGCTAGAGAAAGAAATACCTTTTACATAACATTACAACCCAGTACAAGCATATCTACTTGTGTGTGTGCGTGTGTGTGTGTGTGTGTGTGTGTGTGGTGTGTGTCTGAAATACAAGTCCCTCAAAACAACACTTTACCTTCTTGCCTAAAGATAACATGCCGTATCTTCTAATCTATCCTATTTGATTGAAATAAAATGTCAGATAAAACCTGTAATTATGGGGGGAAATATCTACATGGCGTGAGATTCAAAGGTACAGAATTTTTTAAACATTTGATTCCCTCTTATTTATTTATTTATTTATTCATTTTTATTGAAGTATACTTGACACAGGATGTCACATTAGTTTCGGGTGTACAGCATAGTGATTCCCCAGGTCTATAAGTTGTGCTGTGCTCACCATGAGTGTGGCCACCATCTACAACACTATGATGGTGTCATTGACTACATTCCCTGGATTGTGCCTCTTATTATTGTGACATATTCATTCCATAACTGGAAGTCTGTACCTCCCACTCGCCTTCACCCATTTTGCCCATCCTCCCACCCTCTCCTCTCTGGCCACCACCAGTTTGTTTTCTGTATCTATGGGCCTGTTTCTGCTTTTTGTTTGTTTGCTTTGTTTTATTTTTTAGATTACACATATAAGTGAAATCATTTGGTATTTGCCTTTCTTTGTCGGACTTATTTCACTTAACATAATACCCTCCAGGTATTTGTTGTCACAAATGGCAAGATCTCATCCTTTTTTTACGGCTGAGTAAAAGGAACAGAAATTTTTGATCAAAGATTGACAAGTAATGATCTAGAATTGGCAGTGGGGCGTGAGCAGAGTGCTCATTCACATCACAGAATGTGGCAGAGTGATCATTGGCCATCTCCACTCATGGGGACTGAGAAAGGATGCTAGGACTTGTAGGCCATGTCCAGAAAGGCAGTGGGAGAGTTTCCTTACTATGGAACAAGGACTGGGGAGGGGAGAGAGGAGAGGCTCCAAAGGAAAGAAAAGCATGGAAGCTAGTCAGAGTAGACACAGCACAAGACAGCAGGGAGGGGAGAGAAACTTAGGGGTTTACATTTGGAGTAATAAGGAGAGCAGAGAAACTTAGGGGTTTACGCTTGGAGGAAGGACCAGGGACTACAGAACCATGCGTCATGGGCAGGTTAGTATAAAAGTTGCAGACAGAATTCTAACAACACGCTTCGCTGCAGATGTAAACTGAGCCCAAGCCCAGGCGGAGGGGGAGGCCTGGTTAAGGTGGGCAGTTGGCTTACTCTATAGGAATGGCTCTCAAGGGGGATGGGAGAGGTGATTTTGCCCCCTACTGGACATTCAGCAATGTCTGGAGACATTTCTGGTTGTGGGGGAGAGGTGATATTGGCATCCAGCAGGTAGAGGCCAAAGATGCTTCCAAACACACAGGACAGCCCCTCACAATAGAGAATTAGTAAGTTTAAAATGTTAGTAGTGCCAGGGTGAGAAACCCTGCTCTGTGGACCATAAGGCTACAATGGAGGCCTCAGGGAGCCATTGGGAGTTCAGAAGAGAGACTGACAACCACTGAGAAGCCATAGAAAAGCCACGGGAAGAGAGATGTTCAAGAAGAAAAGATGCCAAAGGCTTTTAAAGAGCTTGAGGAGGTGGGGATAGAGAATGGGTCCCTGGATTTGGGAATCAGGAGGTTCTTGAGAAGGTTGAAAAAGAGTAGGTTCAGTAGTGATGAGAGTGAGAACCATCTAAGGAATGAGGCTGTGGTTGGGCGGTGGAAGAAGATGGCACGAACAGAAGACAGGACTTGTAAAACTGGCCTCACAGCTCGCTGAACAACCTGCAGCAGAGAACAGCGATTTGTTTGCTTTTAGTAGTGTTGTTTCCTTTTGACCAGCCTTAAAGTGGTCTCTTCTGGGGAGAAGCATACTATCTTTGGCATTGGTTACCATTTTAATCAATAACTTGGAAGAAAAATCAAGGAGACAGGGAGATCAATCATGCAGATGATACAGATTAGAAGGGCAAATCATACAGTGATTGACACAATCTAAATCCTGAATTATCTCAAAATGCTGGAATCCTAGGTTAACACCAACAGAGTGAAAATTGACCTGGCATGACTGAAAAGATCCATGTGGAGTTCCAAAATATCAATTGCACAAATGGGAGATCAGGGTGATTCATTTGCCAGTAGTTTCCGTCAAAAAGGCTGAGGGTCTTGAGTCCCCACAGGTGTGACACAGTTCCTGCAATAACAACTGCAATCGTGGTTGCACCAAGAGAATCTTACGCAATCATGGTTGCATCACAGATGACAAAAGGCATTTACGTGTGTTCTAACATTGGCCCTCACAACAAACCCCTGAGGTACACAGAACATCTATTAATACCCACATTTTACAAGCGAGAAAACTGAGGCTCAGAAAGACTAATTGACTTTCCCAAAGTGACAAAGCTAGTAAGTGGCTAGACTGTGATCGGCTTAGAGGTCCTCCAGCCCCTGGTTTTGTGCTTTCTCCACCACCCCCAATGCACCCTGGAAGACCGGGCCCGTGCCCAAGGAGGAAAGTAAGCAGGTCCTCTGAGCTGTCAGAACCACACCTGGAGGACTGCAAGCATTTAAGAATGCTGAATTGAATCATGATTTGATTGTGTTCGTTCATTCTAGTTTACAAACTAGAATCTATTTTAGAGAGTTAACCAAAGCTGGTGATAAATACAGTAAAAGCAAAATAAAGAAACTCTGGGTGTTCACACGAGGTCTTGAAGAGGTGCCATTTGCTAATGCTTTCAGATTATTCCCAGAAATTACCTTTTACAGAATTCGTTTGGTTTGCAGATATGGGATTTTTTGCTAACATTTCCACTCATGAGTGCCAGTTAAAAAAAAAAAAAACACACCAAGACGATGATGTCTGCTCCTATCTCGTGCCTAACTAGTTCAGCTAGGTTCAAAAGCGTACTTGGGATTTTCCTGCCCCACTTAGCATAGCTAGCCAGAGCCCAAAGTATGTCCTGGTTTTAATCTTTCTAAACATAGAGAAGCCACTGTAATTGTCATTCTACTCATTTTACTGAGGACTCTTCCACTTTTACTCAAATGAGATTAGGTAACATATTTTAATTATTTTCTTGCGAAGTCAACATAGGCCTACTGGAATCTTAGATCATAATCTGAGACCTCTACTAATCTTGGTCTGTTTTTATGCTTCTTCTCAGTTAAGTCCTTGAGGCCTAAGGCCAGATGCACTACTATCCTGTGCCCACCGTTGGAGCTTGTGAGGGGAGGAGTTTGGGGGGTAGTTTCCTAAGGACAATGAGGGAGCTGTGACCAGGAGAAGGAGGAATGGATGTTGAGAGGCAAACACAACAGTATCCTCCCCCTGAGCACTGCATCAGCCTCATCAGGAACTCTGAAAACAAAGGTATAAATAATATACAACTTCCCTGGGGATCATATAATTAGAAGAATTCAGTATCCCAAATGAAATTCAAATGAAGGGACAATGGTCTCTTTGGTTAGAGTTTTGTTTATTTGTTTGTATATATACTTGTTTTGTGATATTTTATCTTCTTCTCTTTTATTTTTTTATTATTTTATTTCATTTCATTTTAATGTGCCCTTTTTTGCGCTGGTTGGCTTCTCAAAACACCATTGCAACACACCACCCCTTCTAGGAAGCAAAAGGCATTAAGGTAACCTTGAGCAGCACCCACCCCCCATCCTCCCTACTTTGCTATAGTCCTTGGCCTCAACCAGAGATTCCATAAAAACAAAGAACATCTGACAGGGAGAAACTAGTCAGGTGATTTGAAGTTCCACAGGAGGAACCTGTTCTGGACCCTTTGGGCTCACCACTGAGCCCTATACAGGGGATACAGGACCTGGTCCTGGTCTGTGCATTAGAGCAAGGTGGGGGAAACCATTCCTTATCTAAACCAGGTACTGGCGTGCGTGGGCCCAAAGGATGAATGAAGGATATGACAAGTAAGGCAGAACCCAGGGCACAGGGATGCTCCAGGCAACCAGGGAAGACTATTCCACAAGCTCAGCTGTCCTTGGAAATGCAACATTCCAGTGTCAGGTTAGCTGTGTCACACTGAAAACAGAAGAGTTAGACTGTCTCCAGGGCTCACCTGACCTGACAGAGCTTTGGATCTCAAAATTCCAGGGCATCTGGTGGCACGTGTACATCAATGCACATGGTTTACTGTGGCCCAGATATCAGAGCTGGACAAAGCGACTTGGGAATTTGATCTTCTAACAATAATTATGTTTCTGCCTCCTTCACAGATCACGTCCAAGTTCGTAGGTCAATTGCAGAATAAAGCTGATAACCATAGAGTTGCTGACTGATGTGTGGTTTGCTTATAAACGCAAACCATCTGTGTCCAGTTATCCTACTCTCTCTGCTGGTTTATTTGTGTCTAGAAGACTATTGTTCTTAGTTGCGAGGCTTTATGGTGGTCCAAAATCATGGTTGTGCTCACTTTTTATTCCCTTTTGCTTCATAGCTTCGGACTGATCACAGATACATACAAACCAGTTGTACCTTTGAAACAAACACCTTCACCAGTCTTTTTTCCCCCGTTCAGGGCACACACATGCTTCAACCGATTGGATCTGCCACCTTATCCCTCATACTCCATGTTGTATGAAAAGCTGCTAACAGCAGTGGAAGAAACCAGCACCTTTGGACTTGAATGAGGAAATGGAAATTCACCTGACATTTTCCTGGCAGTCACATCACCCTTTCTGGGATGATCCCCTTGCCCTTTCCCTGAATCAACTCTCCTTTGATTTTGGTATTCCATGATTTTTATTTTCAAACCAAATCAGGATTGACAAAAGCTGTGCATGAAGAACTGCCTTCTTCTGAGATCCAACCTCCAGGCTTATCTCCTCTATTCTCGATGAACTGCTAGCCTGTATGCAATATTAAACAACAGCTGTCTCAAGGTCTGTGTGTATCTCCACATACCTCCATTACTAACAATGAAATAGGAATGCAAGTTATGCTACACTTGACCAAATGGTAATAAAAGTTTACTTCCATTTATATAATTTTAGGGAAATTTGAGCATTAAGCATTCCGAGCTTTTATATGCCCATGTCTTCTGAGCAGAACCACCATTTTTTATAATTTCTAACAACCAACTCCAGGCCTAGGAGCCAACCAACAATTTCTTTCCTCCCACTCTCCCTTTTCCCATGCATACCACCCATCCAAAAACAGCAGTAGCAAAGCTGAAATTTTTATACATTCAACTCATGAGTCATACGTGGCCTCAGTCCCATCAGCTGGAACTAGCCTAGACATATGGTGCAAATATTACACTTTCCAACAAATAACAACACCAAGAAAAACGCCTCCTGCTGATGCAACACAGTGCATCTCAATGGTTGTGGGGATTGTGGCTCAACATGAGTTTAGAGAAGTCTAGGAGGGGCACGCCCCTCGTGAACACTCACTGCACAAGAAGCAGAAACTTGTGCACACGAAAGAGATCTCATTACGTAACATAAAGGATGAGGCTTCTACCCCCATTGTGTTGTGTAGAATGTGATGAAGCAAGCAGGAGAGAGGGAAGAAGGCCATATTAGGTTGGTTTGAATACCTGAGTTCTGTACTGTTTTGTTTTGCTTTGCTTTGTTCGGTCAAGCTACAGTTCTCCTTCACAAGAGAAAAACAAAATGTGTAGATAATCTCATGACTTTTGTTAAAGGTGATTGGCAAACAAACTCTTGTTTTAACTTTGATATTTTTTTTCATGCTTTCTTTTTTTCTTTTCTTTATTGTGTGTTCGAATTCCTTCACATTTGATTGTCCACAGGGACACGTTAAATGAGAAGCTGCAGAGAGTGATGGTGCTTGTTTGGGGTCAAGGGCAATATAATACTCCTTCTTCATCCACAGCAATCCTCCTGGAGCAAACACCTAACACCCCAAAGGCACGTTGATTTGTCAAAATAGATATCCAGTTTCTTTTAGCACTCAGTAAAGAGATATCTCAGAAAACTTCGTGTTTTGAGAAAAACAGTTGCAGGCTCCAAAGATAGCCTAACCTCTTGATTACATTTGGAATAAGCCCAAACATAATGGTCATTTCTATTTTTCTAGGCTTGTTAATCCATGTTGTCTGAAATGTGTCATAAGTGAAAGTGTTTTTCTTCCCTGGGAAAAGAAGAGCTAAAGCCCCCCC